TTTCTCATCAGGTGTGCACATTTGCATCCCCAGCGCACAGTAAGTGCTCACAATATTTGCTAAATAAAAGGAAAAGTCCTGGTGAACATAAGCACGGAATAGCATTGCCCCTTCTTATTTCCCAAGGGCTTGAAGTTCCGCATGGGGTGGGTTTTTACTGGCTCCATCTGCATACTAACCAAGAACCAAGGCTGGTATTTTGCTATTTTGATGTCATGCTATTGAAAGCCTGCACTGCCTCTGCCCTGTGGGAACCACACTCAGCGCCTGAAAGCCTTCCTCTTATTCCGGTGGGAGGCTCGCTCGCCCACTCGGACTTCCTGTATATTGTTTCCCCTGGGAACTTTAAGGCACTCGGGGATCGAGATCAAACTCGTCTGGGGAACTGCCAAACTTCAGCAGTTTTCAGAAGCTCCCAGGTGACTCCAATGTGCAGCCAAATTTGAGACGCTCCCCTCCAGACAGTGGCAGTTAGAGGAGGTGTGGAGGGCGGGGCTGTTGAGCAATTATGCAGAGAAACAATGACTAATGCAGTGAATGATGAGGCAAGCCCAAAAATCAGAGGGAAAAATAAACCTGAACTTGGGCAAATGCTTCTCTACAGAGGAAACAAGCCTTCCATGATTCCTGTTATATACAAACGGGAAACTTCATTCTTCAGATGTTTTGGAAGGAGAATCTGGAGGGAAAGCTTCTCAATTGCAATCTAATTCCCAGGCACTTGTCCCATGTCAAAGCCAGCTGTGGGTCTCAGGAGAGCAATGCCATGCCTTCCTCCTCTGGCGCGGCTAAGCCAGCGAGGACGGCAGATGTTTATCATTTCCCCTTTGTTCTGTCCTGCATTTGGTTTCACAATGAACAACTCTACACATTTCTACTGTTCCTATGGATGGCTTAAAAGCAAAGCAAGCCAAAGGTTAAAAAGTGGGGACCTAAGAACTAAGATATGAAAGAGGGGTTAGCTTTGGGGATCAGAAAATGCCAATTTCCAATCTATTCCAGGCTGTAGGAGGGCGTGGCGCATCATCCCAATGCCACTCTAGTGGCACACTGCAGGCAGCAAGCCTCAGCATTATTCAGCAAGAACTGCATTTCATATAGTGGAGCATTTTTATATTTATAAAGTGCTTTTAGGAAAAGCACTGACTGCTCAACAACGTGGACCCAGGGAGAGGTTGCTCCTTCCACCTTCCACCCCGGGTGCATCCTCCACGGGTGCAGGCTTCAGCTGATGCACAGGCCACGCTCGGACCGAGGCAGGCCCATGGCTTTTTCACTCTACAAAACGACCGATAAATGGTGTCTTCAACTAAGAGTCCAGCATTGTGAGGTCTGTTCCTTTCTTGACACCATATCTTGGGAAGAAAAGAGTTTATTATTATTGTCCCAACAACACAAGATCAGATATTTTACATACACGGGAGTTTCACCCTGATATTAATGCAAATTTTTTTAGGATTTCATCTTGCTTAACATTTAAACCCTTTCAACACTATAAACATTTCCTCAAAAGCTCTGATGATGTTTCCATCCTGTCTTGACGCTGCCTGGGGGGTGGTACCTGAGACCTGGCACTGGAGCAAGGCGGCCCAGGGGGTCTGCATTCGTCAGCATGGTCTGTCAGTCAGTCAAGTGGAACAGGTTGCGGGGAGGTCAGGGGCCAGAACGTGCCACCCACACCTGGCTTCAGGAGCGGCCTTTCGGGAGCCCAGGTGCTCTGGGCATTCCCTCAGAGGGGCAGGCGTGAGGGGAGGTGGGCCCCAGCCTGCTCCCATCCACAGTGCGTGCCAGGCTGCGGAGCAGCTGGTGAACCGATAGCTCCGTTTGCCTGTTCTCTGTGTTAAATAGAAGTATAAATCCTGCACACATGCAAGAAAGCACACAGAAATTAACAAGACGGCGCTGCAATAGAAGTGCTGAGCGCCTGGCGCCGGACGAGGAGGAAGCAGGCACTGCGTCAGTGCCCCAGGTGGCCTCAGCCCTCGTAGCCCTCAGGGGCTGGGGTCTTCAATGGCCCCGAAACCTCCAGAGCCACAGGCCCAGAAAGAGGACTGGTGTCTTTAACAAAACTGTTTTGATTTAGAAATAAGACAGACTCACTGCTTAAATACCTTTATTATTTTTTTAAAAAATTATTTGGACATTGATAGCTTTGCAAAATACTTCTCCCATCCCAAACCCTCAAACCTTTTCCACACATCCTCCCTAAAAAGACAAAATATTCGTACTTTGCACCCATTCACATCTAATTTTTAAAAACATATAACTCAAAATGAAATATTATTTTTCTTTTTCAGAACTCATTAGTTATTTTAAACCACAATGCAACATACTTAATGGCATTTCTTTTTAAAAATTAGCTTATCAGACTATTTTATGAGGAAAAAATCAATTCAAGGCCTTAAAGAGACTAGAAATTCCCTGTTTCTGGAAGCAGATGACATTGAAAGCCCCTGGAGTCTGTAATTCCACACTAGCAACAGCGCTGCTCCCGACAGACACCTGCTCCGGCCGGGCAGTGCGAGGTGCTTCTGGCTGCAGCCGAGGAGCTGGGAAGGGCGGGAGGATAATTCCAGCACAACAGAGCGACAGGCGGGGACCACAGGAGGGACGCTTTCTGAGCAGTGCAATGAACGCCTCTCGGCAGGCTTGCTTGGGGCAGAGGAAGGTGTGGGAAATCTGCAATCTACACTAACTTCTGAATGACGAATACAAGTGTCAACAAAAATATTGCACATCATACCAGAGGCACGAAACCACTGAGAAGGCTCCAGAAAGAGTAACTGCAGATGGAGATGAGCCCCAAAGTGCCTTCGGGAATGAGCGAGAGAAAAGGAGTCCATGTGGATGGCACAGGGGTTACTGAGAGGAGGCAGAAAACAATACCTTCCTTGTCCTCAATGGGCAGGTTTTACGCGGACAAATCTTCATCACAGATGTGTCCGAAAGATCTAAGAAAGGTATCACTTCTTCATTTTCCCCAATACAACAGGGGCACTTCATTATGTGGCTAAAAAAGGAAGAAAGAAATCCTACATAGAACCCATCTGGCTAGCTGAGCACCATCGGTGTTTGCAAATGTCCTTCCCTGGCTGTGCAACCAACCCACCAACCCACGGACCTCTCCGAGCCACGCGGAGGCCCTGACAGCTGCAGGTGGCCTCACCTCCCAGTGCCCTGCGTGAGGCGTGAGGCGTGAGGCCTGTATCCAAAATGCAGGTGATGCTTCGGAGCATGCTGTGGGGAGAGCGGAGGTGACATGGAAGGCCTTGCCTGTCCCTCCTTCACACTCAGGGACGCTGGGAGCATGCTGTGGGGAGAGCGGAGGTGACATGGAAGGCGCCTGTCCCTCCTTCACACTCAGGGACGCTGACCAGCTAAACTGAGGCCGCATCACTGTCTATCAGCTGGGTTTGACCCAGACCCACATATTTGTTGCCGGAGTTTTAAAATCAAGAAAACATTTCTAACTCATCTCTGAGAATGGACACAATTCAATTCTCCACTGAAGTCACTGAGGCAACTTTTTAGGGCTCCATAGCCCTAGCCTGACTAGATGGGTTGGTCACGCCTCTGCACAAAGCCTAGGACGGTACATCCCAGGCGCCCCAGGCTGCTGCTGCCCACACACTTCTCCCCGAAGGCTTCCCCTGACATGCACTCTCCGTAACTAGTAGTCCATATGTCATTAAAGGGCAAGTTGCTCTTGAGTAAGACTCCCAGAATTCACGTGGGCCCTGAGTCCTCATGGCCCGGGATGCGCGCCTGGCAGCGTGCTCTGCTCCTCCCACGGTGCGCAGTGGGAGCCTGCGCTCTTGCACTCCGAGTCTTGTAAACCACCGGGAGGTGCCAACCCCCCCAAAGCCCTGCCCACAGCTATGGCTGCAACTGATGCTAACCTATTGAGCTTTTAAAACATGAAACAAAAACAAAACAAAACACACAGACCACACACACACACCACACACACACACACTTACTTTGGCACGTGAGCCTTGAGTTACTTGAGCATTTCATGTCCCTGCCCCTCCCCGTCCCAACATTTCAGTCGCTCTGTTAGGAGAATGAGGCCCTTCTGTGGATGAGAGAGATCACCATGAAGCACTGCTGTTCCGAGTCGCAAGAGGAGGAGCTACAAATGCTAAACCGGCCCCCAAGCAGTCCTCACGTTTAGCATTATACTTTATGCAATGCTGCAAAACTTCTGTACCAGGACAACCAGTTTCAAACTGCTGGTTGATTAAATATACATTTACATATAGATATAGGTATAAAAATTACTAAGTCAACATTTGCTGTTTTCAATGTGAAAACAATAAAATGTAATTCTGAATAATTGTGCCTTTACCATAAGGTCCTTGTTAAAGGGATCATAAAAATAATTTTGCAATAAAAAAAACTTTTTAAAAAAGTTTAGTATTGCCCTCAAGTTCAAAAGTTTGGAGCACATGTGCTGAGTAAGCAGGACTGGCATCTGTTCCTGCCGCGGACCTGGACGCCTCACACTGAGTGACCCCTGACGGCGGCCCCGGGTGCCTGCCAGCCACGACCAGCTTGGTGTAGACCTCACGTGGCTGGGCAGCGCCAGGGGACTCGGGCGCGTTTCTCTGGCGGACGCCGCTGCAGCTCGCCCCCTCCCTGCTCGGAGCTCAGGCAGCACCCCGTGCTGGGCTCTGCCTTTTCTTGAGCACCCAGACTTAAGCAACTGGGGGCAGGGTCTTGGTGAGGACCACTGAGCACCAAGGCTGAGGGTGATGGGCTGACCTTCTACTCGGCTGGAGGCAGGGATGGAGAGAAGATGGGCATTTCAGTGACACAGAAGTTAGCTGTGCAGGAAGGAAAGTGCATATAAGGTAGCTTAAGAACAGGTTAAGAGCAAACTGCCACAGAGAGGGAGGAGAATGGAGCCAACCCCCTGCCTGCGGCCGGCCTGCCCCGTGGGCTGACATCCATGCTGTCTGACGTGTCGCCCATGAAGAAACGGGCACATGTTCTCCTGGTTCCGGCAAGCACACAATTTTCTTGGCAAAGTTCTTTTTTGCCAAGTTCAGTTTTATTTGGTTGCTGTTCTGAACCACTGTCACCGGAATTCATAGATGGGTGCGCTGTGTTCAGGAACGTGCGTTAGGTTGAGCGACTGATACCTGCAGGGAGACAAACGGAGGCAGCAGTCTCAGCATCCTGACCACGGAACAGGGATGTGTGAACACCCAACCGAGCACCCAACACGCCACACACTTGCATGGGATGCAAGCCCACCTCAGACTTCAGGTGAGCCAGGCGTGATTTACTTCTATGTCATTACTATTCCTCCTGAGTTACGCATAAAATAAGACGTTTAGGCCTCCTGCTCTAATCATGAAGCAATGCTAGTGGGCCTTATAAAAGGAGAGGCTGCGTAGCTTTGAGAGAAAACAGACTGGAGTCCTGCCTCTCTCCCTGCCGCTCATCCTGCCTCTCGTGGACGTCCAGCACCTCAGCTCCTTCTAGAAGGCCAGGCTATGATGTCCTCAGAGCTCCTGGGAACACAGGCACACCCCACTCCCTGGAACCCAGAGAGAGCACGGGAAAGAAAACTTCACCATCTACTTTCATTCTCTCGCTCCCCAGACATGGCTGTTGGACACTGAGAGCCTCAGAGAGCTCCACGGTGGCATGTGCTTCCCTGTGGGCAGGTGCTCCTGGAGCCCAGCAGGCGAAGGAGAAAGAGGCCAGGACCACACAGGGGTGATGACCCCCAGGGCAATTAGAGTGCTGGTGTGGTGCTAGCTCTCCCCTGACTTGTTTCACACAGAGAGAGGAGGAGCACAGCAAGAAGCAGTTTATTTCTTACCCAGAAAATCATCAAGAAAGGATTATGCATTGGCCATCAGAGGGTACTATAATCATAAGCCATCATAACAAGTATTGCTGAGGATATGGAGAAAGTAGAAAAATTGTGACCGGCATGCATTGCTGATGGGAAATGCAAAATGGTGTAGCTGCTGTGGAAAATGGCACAGCTGCTTTTTGGTGGCTCCTCAGAAAGTTAAAAATAGAATTACCAAATGACCCAGCAACTCTCCTCCTAGGTGTGTGCCCAAAGGAATTGAAAGCAAGAACTCAAACAGATACTTGTGCATCCATGTTCAGAGCAGAATTAGTCACCGTGGCCAAAAGGTGAAAGCAGCACAAGTGTCTATCAAGGGATGAATAGACAAACAAGTGTGGTCTATATCCTTACAATGAAAAACCACTCAGCAATACATGTGAAGTACTAATACACGCTACAGAGTGGCTGAACCTGCAGGCCATTACGCTAAGTGAAAGAAGCCAGGCACAAAGGCCACACAGTGTCTGATCCCACTTCTATAAAATACCAAGAACGGGCAAATCCGTAGAAATAGAAAGCGGGTCAGTGGTTGCCGGGCTGGGCTGGGACGGGTGTTGGAGTGGTAGCTGAGGGAGCACAGGGTTTCTTCCCGTGGTAATAACAATGCTCTAAAATTGATGAAGGTGATGGTTGCACAACTCTTAATGTACTAAAGGCCACTCACTGCACTGTATGCTTTATGATTTATATCTCAATAAAGCGATTATTTGAAAAAGAATAATGAAAAGTTTTAGAAACTCCTTTTGAAAACAATTTTTTGAAATCCTAATAATTGTGGCTCTCAGAGGAGCTGGGACCACCCTGAGCCCAAGGGCACTGAACAAGATAGTTGAGTCAACCCAGGGTAGGGTCACTCACAAGTCACCAAAGTGTGAAAACTTTGAAAGGAAATAAGGTCATTCTATATTCAGAGAAGAAATCAGGTATTTTATGAAATGGTTCGCCCTTCAGGTATAACAAGATGCTTAAAAAGCAGGCAGCAAGGAGGCAGGAGAGTCCTCAAAAAGGTGTCAAAAATGAGCACTTGCAGTGGCATTGGGTCGTTTACCTCGAACCAAACACAGGGCAGGACTGTCAACTCCCACAGGCCCCTCGGTCACCAGCTAAAATCAAGTGCACAGGGACCTGCAAATGCCTGTGACCAGGAATGTGACCAACAAATTAAAAAGACTGCTGACAGCAAAATTCAGTCTGCAGCTGGATCTGACATTTTAGTTGCAGATTAAATTTGGGAGGAATAAGTACAAACCCAGCAAGACTGAGATAAACATTGCTGAACACACAGTAGTGCCGGCACGCACTCTGCAGTGAGTGCTTTCACCTCGCGCTGTTTCCGTCCCATTCACTCAGCTCTGTGGATGGGGATGAGCGCCAGTGGGAGCAGCTGAGACCATCTAAAGAGGTGCCCAGCATCCACACAGCGTGGCATTCACGCAGAGACCAGCACAGGTTTCCTTTGGGATTTGGTGAGCCCAGTGAGAGCTGGGGGGGCTCGGGGCCTCCTTACCATTCTGAGCTTCTATGGTAATAGTAGCCCTCTATGGAGGCTGCCGACTTCTGGAAGCAGATGTAGTAGAACCCGGCAAAGGAAGCACCGCTGATGTCTTTGATTGTGTGGTCTGGGACCAGGAACTGTTCCTGCACGCAGATGGGGAAGGTCAGTTACAGCATCCTCCTCGCAGCTCTGGAGCCTCCTTAGCCATCAGACGGCTCTAAGGCTCCACCATCACATGGTCTAGCCCGGAGGTGCGTTTTCTCCCACCGTGTGAACAGCATTCGTAGGCCATTCGAGCATCCTACTTACTACTACAGAAAGCTGTGTCTGGAGCTCACTAGGATCAGCACCAAGAGAAGGTGCCATGGTCCACACATCTGGTAAATGAATCAATACCTATCTAATTACCTACCTTTCAGAGCTCACAGGCAGGACGACCTGCGGAGCAAGTCTGTGCTCCACTTCAGGGACTCTCACTAGTTCCTGATCGCCTCTAGAACAGTGGGTCACTTCTATTGGCCTGTGGATCTCTCTGAGGCAGCTCAGTCATCAGTAGCCCTTGTAATACCCCCTTCAAAAGGTCTACACCTCATCAAAAGCAACCAGAACGTTCCTGTTCTTGGTCAGGCACTTGCAAAAGGTAAGCTTTTATCTCTGGTTGGAGCCAAGAGTGGAAAGGCTGCATCCTATTACCTACTCTTCCGGGGAGACAAGGTCAGAGGTCAGGGCCCGGGGAGGTATAAAAGCCTCTGGTGAGTCACCCTGAGAAATTCTTTGCAGAAAGCACAACCATTGCTTTTTGGATCTTTCCTCAAGCTCTGAAATTGCAATTTTAAAAATTAATTTTAAAATTAGAACCATACAAGATACTTCTTTTAATGTGTTATTTAGATGGATTATCTCCAGTAGATGGCAAGCTCACGAGGGCAGGGCTCAGTACATGGCAACTCTCCTGAAAGGGTAATGATCTCCATCCCCAAAACTATTAACTGCACAAAGTAAAGGCTAGGAATGACTACTCTCCATGTTTTGTGCATGTGAAAGCCAGCAAAATTTCATGGTAAAACAGCTGTTTCCTTTAGACTGGGGAGTAGGGCTTGGAGGGAGGTATATGTTCACAAAGTGACTTACAAACTTGCTCCATGGTTTTACTGTCCTAGGGCCATAACACAGCAGCTATCATGCTACCAAAGCAGGGAGCACATGTGACTTCTCTGCCCAAAGCCAATCCACGGAGCCCACCTCCCTGGCAGAGTTCTCGGGCTGGTGAGTGGAAAACCTGAATTCCATTCCTGGTCCCTCATTTCCTGAGCTGGAGGGAACCAGCGGAGCTGAACTGTGCTGGGTGAGCCCTGCACAAGCCATGGTGACGGAGCAGTCACTGACATGGCATGCCAGCCCATGGCTGAGAAGAGGGGATGGACAATGACTAAGTTTAAAGAGCACTAGGCTCTCCCCTGAACCCACAGAATACTAAGGCTCAATCAACTTGGAGGGCCCCAGGGATTCCTGGGGGGAGAAAGGAGGGAGAGGACATGAACGCCAGTGCCGGGGTGAATTCACTGCTACACTGCACAGCTTAACCAGAGCAAACCCGTGCGGTGTCAGCTGTGAACCGGTGTGCCTCGGAGCTGTGCCTGCCTCTCATGAGTGTGTAGAGACCAGGCCAAGAAGACAAAACTGTAGCAAGCATTGGACACGGGAGCAGATGGGGGTTCCCTACAGGAGCCGCACAGTCGGAGAGCCGCCTGCAGGGGCTTACCTTCCACCGCATGAAGACATAATCCCCATTCTTCAGCTCTTCATAATCAAAGTCATCTGAATTAAAGGATTTTGCATACTGATAAAAAGCCAGGAACTTGCCCTGAAAGCAAACACGAGAGGAAGAGACTAGGGTAAGAGGAGGTTGGGGTCAGGGCTTCCCTCCTGCCAGGTGCAATCGCCCTCTCAAGGGCGGCGGCTGAGCACTGGGAGAGGAGTCTTTGGTCGCTCCACTGATCAGGCCTGGCCCCTGGACAGAACCGGCACAGCCCGCTCAGGGACCTCGGCCTGAGGAAGCGGCAGGATGGAAACACACAACCCAGGAGCCTGTTCCCAGAACATGTCACTGCAGACAAAGCCGGAAGCAGTGGAAAGATCTCTGCAGCCTGAGGCAGGCAGGCAACCAAGAGAGGGCCGGCCGATGCGTGGGTAGAGACTGGATAGGGCAGTGTATGGTTAAGTTTAAAAAAAGGAGACTAAAATAGGTTACAAAACTGTATCTTATGATCTCAGTTTTATAAAAAAAAGTATAGGTATTCAAATGAGATTCAGGAAAAGGTTCATACCTGTTTTAGCTTTAGGTATTGTCCTTATAGACAATTTTTTTTCCTTTTGCTTTTCCATTTTTTCAAATATTTTAAAAACAAAAATGTATAGATTCTACAAGAAAACATCTTAAAAAATGAGGATATAGAGATATTAACCCTTTGTGGTCCAATTTTATTTTTGGAATTCAAACAGTCTGGTCCAAATTAATTGACGGGATTGAATGTTGAACCGGTTTGCGGTGTCGACCTCAGCCTCGACGTTGGACCTGCTCCTAGCGCCTGGTCTGTCGAGTCAGCCTCCACGATGGACCGAAAAGGGTTAAGTCACAGAGTTTGTTACACAGATAAAGCATATGGAACCGTGACTTTGTAGTCCCATTGTAATACCTACTTAAAATACCGCTCAGGAAAATCTGAGGGTGCAATACAATGTTTCTGATTCCAGTTCACAATGGAAAAAGGATATGAGGGGTGAGGTTTATCAGACACTATTAATTCCTGACAAACAAAGGCACAACATAGGCCTCCGGGAGTGCTCTGCGGGACCTGAGAGTTCTCGTGGGCTGGGAAAGCCATGGAAAACGCTGTGGGCTGCGGCCTGCAGGTCCCGCCATCGTCTTCCCATGCCTAGCACACCAGTGCCAGGGTGGCCTTCTCCGTCCCTCTTTCACCCAAAATGTTTCAAGCTAGCCTAACAGAGGCTGGAGTCCCAGATGCTTTCCAGGGTCCTAATGGGAAGGCAATGGGGAATAAGAGCTGCTTTGCAGGTATTTAATGTGCAACCAATCCAGCCTAAAACTAAGGTTTCCCTGGGCCCCAAAGACCTTGCTTTCCGCAGAACCAATCTGAGATGGAAAACGAAGCTGAATGGGAGACAAACTGTGGTTCATGACAAGGAAGAACTCTGTCACTGGGCTGCCCAGGAGAGGAAGGGGCCCCCTGACAAGGTGGCATGCCGTACACAAAGAGCCGGCATTGGGCGGGGGGACCAGGTGGTGCCAAAGAGCCCTCCAACACTTCTTTCTGACACTGGCACCATTGGCCCCAACCTTTTGGATACTCAAATCTTGTTCATTTTCTCATATTATAGAGAAACGAATGACTAACCCAGACGAGGGTCTGCAGTAGGAGTCTTCGGCAAGGCCTGTTGGGCCAGATTCAGGAGAGAGTCTTAGAATCTTCCTTACCAACACAAGCAGTCATTTCTGGTTGGCTTAGAGGGTGAACACAACAGACTTGCTCAGTGTTAACCCAAAATTCATCGTTGCCACGGTCAACTAAGCCAAAAGGCTATGACAACAGGCTGAGAAATGGATGTGTGTGACAACTGAAGGAAAGACTGGAGGACAGGAACTCTACGCTGCTCACTGCTGCTGAATGGAGCATGCCGCCCTGGCTGGTTTGGCTCAGAGGACAGAGCCTCAGCCTGTGGACTGAAGGGTCCCGGTTTTGATTCCGGTCAAAGGCACAGGCCTGGGATGCAGGCTCGATCCCCAGTAGGGGTCGTGCAGGAGGCAACTGATCCATGATTCTCTCTCATCATTGATGTTTCTATCTCTCTCTCCCTCTCCCTTCCTCTCTAAAATCAATAAAACTTTATTAAAAAAAAAAGAGAGAGAGAGAGAGAGCATGCCCACAGCTGACAGCTGCAGGGCGGAGACTGTGCCTGTCTGCCAGGAGCTGGGTTAGAAGAGCCCCCTGTGGTGTGGCCAAGGGGAGGGGCAGCTGTTCAGGAACTGCATCTCCACCTCATCCCCTGAGTCAGAGGCCATCACTGTACCTTTCACAGGATTCCCCCCAAGGACAGCAGGTGAGAAAGGAACCGTGGACAGGAGGTGGACAAACAGAAAGGACAGGGAGATGTGATAAGACCCTGAGCACCACGTTCCTGGGCTCTCCTTGGTGGCCCAGGGCAATCAGAGACTGACTCACCCAATGTTTCCGATCAACATCTTCATCCGCATCCCACTTTCGAGTTAAGAAAGGGTGTTTTTGGCTGATTATTTCTCCTTCAAAGAAGGTCGTAAGGGTTGGGTACTCCTATGGTCAAAACCCAAACATCAAAAACAAGATGTCAAACAGGAGTTTTAACCTTTACAAAGGAAAATTAGCCTCAATTTCACTTCTTCCCCATACTTCCAAAAAAATGATCCCACCGCTAACCAACAATAAGCAGAGTTCGGCTGGCGGTCTGCCGATGCTGTGGACACCGGAATGGAGGGGCAGAGGCGGGGAGCCCCGGGCTTCGGGCTTTGCCGGAGCAGAGAGCCCTTCTGTGACTTCCCTTACGTGTTGATTGCTCAACAAGGAATCTGGACGATTCTCACAAGTGAGTTCTGAATACTCCAGCACACAAAGAAGATGGTAACTAAGTAGACTGCACTTTCCAAGGAAAACACCCAAAGAGCCTCCAAAATTCGAGCCTTCACAGCTGTCTCCCTCAAGCTGAGACCTCGCCCACTGGTTCAGTGTTTTGTCCCTTTTATGCCAATTCTTCAATTTTCTAGGGGTGAATTTTTTTGTAGAATACCTTGATATACTAGATACATTTAATTCTATCATCATATAAACAAAGATGATTTATACTAGGAAATATATGTAAATTAGGTCTGCAGTGGAAAATCACAACCAGAAAACAATTCTGCTGGAAAAAATAAGTAAGTGGTGTCCCTGCCCGAGTGCTTAGATGCTCCTGCTCATTTTACTGCTATGTGTTCACTGGCTAATGAGGCACCAAATCAATGGAAGAAAAAGTGACACGGTAAAAAGTCTACCATTTCTCTGCATTTGTAAAAAACCCACCCACCCAAGCCTCTGCCCAGCCTGTTGGCCACTGTTTCTCAGGAGCCCGGTGGTGACGGAGCTCTGCGCACCAGTTCACAGCCCCCTCCTGGGGCCAGAGGTCCTGCTTTCTTCTTCAGTCCCCATGTGGGACCCTCTGGCTCTGCAGCAAACACCCACACAGATTTAAAGTAAATCTGTTCTGACGGCTTTGCCTCTTCTCCCAGCTCGACTTGCCACGCAGCGCAGGACCTTCCTGAGAGATGCTGCCCACAGACCCAGTGGTGGCCGGGAGACGGCATCGCCGCCACGCTGCCACGGCTGCAGCCTGCTGCACGGCTGTGGCCTGCTGCACGGCATACTGTTCTCAGCAGTAAACTTCCAAAAAGCAGAAATTTAACACCCCCAAACCACAACTCCCTTACCCAACCATGCTGCTGGGTTCTCCATGCAGATATTTATATAAACAGAGTGAAGAAAGAAAATGGAATAAATGGAAACCTAATTTTAAAGGTAAAACCTAAATTACACTAATCTGTTTTAGGAAAAAATACTAAGGAGAAAAAGTTAGCATCTGACTTGAGATTTTAAATTAAGCTATATAATAAATAATAATACAAGAATAAACTTTGAACCCTGGCTGGGTGGCTCAGTTGGTTGATCATTGTCCCATGCACTGAAAGGTCGTTGGTTGATTCCCAGTCAGGGCACATACCGGGGGTGCGGATTCGATTCCTGGTCGCGTTATGTACAGGAGGCAGCCGATCAATGTTTCTCTCTCACATCAATGTTTTTCTCTCTCTCTCTCCCTCTAAAAATCATTAAAACATATTAAAAAAAGAATAAACTGTGTTTTGCATACTCATAACTGTAATTTTCTGCGTTTCAAACTTTAATATATTTTTTAAAACTTCCTTAAAAGAGACAGAAAAAAATGATAAAGTGTTCCTACTTAATGCAAAAAATATTCATATGGTTCAAATTACATTTTCCTAATGAATGATTCTGCACTGACTTCTCCCTAAAATACTTTAGGCAGTATACCAGGACTATAAGGTATCCCAAAACTCATAGAAGTAAATAAAATACATAGTGAATGACAATATGTACAGAAGTTACCAAAAATATCTCTTAGTGCAGGAACAGGAAACGCAAGCACCTGAATACAGCCAAATTGGTGGTAATTCATAGAGCCAAGGAACAACTGTCAGCAGAAGGAAAGCAGGAATATCAGAAAACCGGTCAGAGTGGCAGAGCCAGCACCAACCCCAATCCTCCGAGCAGGTGCCTGCTTCTTGCGGTGGGTGGGTGGTGGCCAGACAAGGAAGTTCTATAACCGACCCCGCTCACTGATTCCAGGCTCACCAAACACAGTCTGCTGATAGGTCTGGCTTTCCATGTAGACCTGCCTTCTGGGGAATCAACATTCAACTAGCCAGGAAGTCAAAGGGAAACTCCAGAACTTGCATGTGCCTCCTTGGTAAGTACACGGACCAGCACTGTCACATACGGTCTCTGCGAGGGTGGTCAGTGTGACCTCTCCCCTGGTTCCTGAACATGCATGGGCCTGATGTGTGTAACCAGCGCTGTCACACAGGGTCTCTGCGAGGGTGGTCAGTGTGACCTCTCCCCTGGTTCCTGAACATGCATGGGCCTGATGTGTGTAAACCAGCACTGTCACACAGGGTCTCTGCGAGGGTGGTCAGTGCGACCTCTCCCCCTTTGCCCAGTGAGTTTAGCACCACCTCAGTGGGAACTTCCTAGCCTTCCAACCTGGTCTAGTGAATGAGTGAAGTGTCTGAGTGACTCCCCCAGTGTGGCTCGTCCTGGCCTGTGCCAGCTGCCAGCTGCCTGCCAGCTGCCTCCCCAGGGACGATCCTTCTCCCTACTGCTGAGTCAGAGTTGCAAAGAGAATGTTATTTGACACCCATTCTGCACAATTCTGGGGTTTCATTTCCAGAGGTACATAACCTTTAAAGCTGTGCTTGTTTGTGGTGAGCTAGCAAAGAGGCAATTACCGCCAATTTAACAGTTCCATATTGTAAATACAAGGAGGACTCTAACTAAAAACCAAGCCATTTAAATAGTTCTATTCACAGCTATAAATGGAAAAGCAAACAAAAATGGATAACTGCATTTCATAATACAGGTATAAAATATTCTAGGAATTGTCACCCTTTCTGCATTTTACTAATTATCTATAGTGACCATGTATTAAATTTATAATTTTAAAGTTATTAAGACATTGCACAACACCATGCCTATAGTAAGAGCCAGTGAATAGTACATTTTAAATGGGTAAAGTGTATGGTATATAAACTGTATTTCAGTAAAGTTACTAAAAAATGTTTTTAAAAAAGGTGAATTCAAAAAATCCTGAAATGGAGTGTGACTTAGAAACCTCTGACTGAATGCCATCCCAGCGCCATCTCTGAGTCCACCACCCCTGGGGCAGGCCGGAAGGACCACCCAGGAGGGTGATCTCCAAGTCCCAGCCACAAAGCCGGGCTGCCTGGGCTGGCCTCCTTGGTGAGTGCTCACGCCTCAGAGGTGCCCCCTTCACTAGGGTTACTGTTCCTGAAAGTTCATTGCATTTCTGTACATTGTCTGGGGATTGTTAATGCTACTTAGCATTTCTGTGCGGCTTTCTATCACTAAAATGACTGATTTTTAGAAGCAGCAGTAAATATTCTACATTACAAACGTTTCTGGTTTCCTTCTGAAGTTAAATGTTGATGTTCTGCACTCAATTAATTTGGCTGTCTAAGAGTTGAACATACTCTATTTACTATGTTTTCTGCTACCACAGATTCAAAGGTTAGCATCCTTCATTTTCCTATCATTCCCTATCTCTGCTTGACTGGATGCGTTTCCAAAGGGGATGAAGAGAGTACCTTTTCATCTCAATAACAAACTTCACAGGAAATTCTCAACCACACTTCTTTTTTGTTTGTTTTGTTAATCCCCATCAGAGGATATTTTTCCCATTGATTTTTAGAGAGTGGACGAGAGGGAAGGGAAGGAAGAGGAAGAGACAGAGACAGAGACAGAGAGATCAGTTGCCTCCTGCATGCACCTGACCAGGGCGGGAGATTGAACTTGCAACACAGGTTCAAACCCATGGCCCTTTGATGGGAGGGCCGACACTCACACCAGCCAGGGCTTAACCAAATTCCTTCCTCCCTCCCTTCCTCCCTCCCTCCCTCCCTTCCTTCCTTCCTTTTTAATATATTTTATTGATTTTTTTACAGAGAGGAAGGGAGAAGGATAGATCAGAAACATAAGGGAGAAGGATAGAGAGTCAGAAACATTGATGAGAGAGAAACATCGATCAGCTGCCTCCTGCACACCCCCTACTGGGGATGTGCCCGCAACCAAGGTACATGCCCTTGGCCGGAATCAAACCTGGGACCCTTCAGTCCGCAGGCCGATGCTCTATTCACTGAGCCAAACCGGTTAGGGCTCTTTCTTTCTTTTTAATATTTTTAAAATTCATTTCAGAGAGGAAGGGAGAGGGAGAAAGAGAGACAGAGAGAAACATCAATGATGAGAGAGAATCATTGATTGGCTGCCTCCCGCATGCCTTTCACTGGGGATGGAGCCTGAAACCGGGGCATGTGCCCCTGACCAGAATCGATCCCGGGACCCTTCAGTCCACAGGCCGACACTCTATCCACTGAGTCAAACCAGCTAGGGCTCAACCAAATTTCTAATACAGAAGAGGAGAACCAGATGGCATCAAGGAGACAAACAATTGTTTTGAGACTAAGGGGTCATCACGCCTTATTAGTATTCCATATTGTATTCCATTATAATCTACCACTGATGTTACATTGCTTCCTCCTCACTAGGACAAGCTCCTTGACTAGGCAGAGCAGGTATTTTTAACTCTTACTTTATACATGAATAAACTGAAGGGAAATTAAACGTCATGGGACCAGTAAGGGACACTACGAGAAAGTCATCCAGCTCCTTTCCACAGCATTTCCAAACCCCCTGGCATCGGGACAGTGAGAGCTGGGCAGGTGCACAGCACACGCAGCCAGGCCAAGCCCAGGCCTTCACTGTGGAGTGAGGTGGCCAGTCCAGTTACCTCCTTCCTCTTCCTGTTTACTTACTAGTGGGAAAAGAAAGGATGCTCTTTCTTGCTTCCTATATTTCCAGGAGTTTTGAGGTTTACAAAGTTGGTTCAAAGAAAACACAACAGTCTACAATGATATAGAAGCTAATTTCTGTTAGGAAATGGATGACCACTTTCCATTGTTCCAGTGAACTAAGGAGTTGAAAGAACTTCAAGAACTCTCAAAGGATTGATGCTTATTTCAGAAATTGTTAAACTTACGAGGGTGATAGCTATATTCTTACTATATATTACTTTCTCAAAAATGATAAAAATGAAATCAATAGTATTAGTCACATTGTGACTTATTTATAAACTTTAAAGATTTGTGAATCTGTATACTTTCCAACAGGACACATGAAGACTGCATGCTTTATGCTACCTATAGTGTAACAACACTTAGAAACAGGGCACCTTAATCAAGCCTCAGAGACGAAACTGCCTGCCATTCACACTCTGAGACTGCCGAGCGCAGCCCGCTTCCTAGTCCGTGTGAGTGAGTGCTTACCTCAGTAAGGCCTTTAATCTTCAGGTACCCACAGAGGTAAGAGTTCCCCGTGTCCACATGCTGGAAAGAAAGGACACACAGCCTCGTTACAAATGGAGGAGCCACCGGGAGACAAGCAGGAGTCACTTTCCAGTGATCATCCTTGAGACGAAGTCGAGGAAGGGAGACCTGCAGATCAGGGCCCACCCAGTGCAACCAGGGTCAGCTGCGAGTCTTCTCCATCCACGTGCCGGTTCAGATGAAGCTCAACTTCATTCGGCTGAATATCATGAGACCAAAGTCCCCTTCTGGACTAGCAGCTCGCTCCAGCCCCATCTCTGTACTGTCTTCAATTCCAGGCTCCCTTCTGACACAGATTTTGTGCGTCCCTGGCCAGTAGGCCTCCCTTTCTACCTGTACACATGGTGTCATTCCTAACCTGGGCTTCATCTGCTTTCTAATGCTTTTTTGGCCTATTTTTGCCTCCATGCTGCTCAGTCACTGGTCTAACAAGTCCACTGTATTTACATTAAGCACATCTTGCATTATTTATGAAATGGGCAGAATATTTAGGGAAGGTATCTTTCAAAGACTTGTGGTATAAATTTGTTATACCCCAAATCAGAATACACCGTGCATGCCTGCTCTGCTCTCTTCATGCACAGCTGCTTGTATTTCTTGAAGAGAAGAGCCTAAAATAAATAGGAGTAACAGGTGTAGATTTTGAGGTTTAGCAGCCACCCAACACCCAATTTCCTACTTTTCCACACTGGCAGGACCCAGATCCTGTACTGGCACCAACCCTGGCCCTGCAAGACCTGCTAACCCCTGCTCCAAGGCAAACATGTGCCCCAGCCCCTGTGAGCTGTCGGTTTAGGGGTGACTCAGTTCTGGCCAGTGGATGTGTGCATGTCTCCTGGGTGCAGCTGGGAGATACTCTGGCTGCTGGAGAGGCTCTTTTCTCCCCCTTGTGGTGGCAGTATCTGCATGCAGTGCCCGGCCCGGGGCAGTCATCTAGATATTATGAGGAGAAACAGGCTGGGAAATGCCAAGATGGCAGCACGGAAAGACGGAAAGAAATGGGCCCCTGAATGAGCCAATCGGGAACCAAGCCACCTCTCAATTTCTTGTGGTGTGAGATAATGGGTCTCCTTTTCTCTAAGCTACTCTGAAATGGTTACTTGCAGCTGGATGCATACTAACTAGTGCATTTTACCTCAATCTATACAGAGTCATCCCGAATAGGCAGATTTTCAGATTTTATGACAATTGGATTAATTTACAAAGTAAAACCCTGGAATTAAAGCAAAATAAAGTACAATGGTGCTGTAGCACATTGACATTTTAATGTGAAATGTGTTCTCATTTTAAGACACTAGAAAAATTTTGTGGAATTTATCAGATTTGGGGACTCAACTACTTCCAATTACACAGTAAATCAGATACTAAGGCGATCCTCAAAAACTGTAATGAACTCACTCAGCCAGATGAGGTCAGCACCAAAGCAAATGGGCTTCAGTGAAACTAAAGTGCTCCCAGTTTGGAGCTGGTGACCAAAGTATTCCATGTGAAAACTGCCAAAGCATTTTAAATATCCCATCTGCTGGCCCTGGATTTTATCTGAAGCAGCTGATCCGCACTAATGTGGTTCTGCACAGAACTTTTATTAAAAGATACACAACTCTAACCTGAGGCCTTAAATTTCATGTATGCAATTCTCACTGAATTCAATATAGTTTGGGGTTTCACAGCTGCTGGAAGGATATCAGGTGGCAAAGATACTTGCTAATAAGATTAAAACTTAGACCACAAATTGGCTAACATTTTGCATGGATTATCACAAGAATCAGAATTTCAATTTGCCTTCCATTCAACCATGTGTCTCTCCCATTTTGCCCAAACTGATCATGGTGACGGTTGGTGAACTCAAATGCACCCAGTGTAGAGAGCTTTAACCAAAGGACAGGCCAGCATCTCAGTGAGAAGAGTAAGGCAAATGTTTAGCAAGAAGGTCTCACAGCACAGTTGTACCCAACAGCTGCTTTTTTAAAATATTCCTCTCACACTGACCCTGGCCCTCACTTTACTCTTGGCTTCTTAGATGGCAGAAGAGATAAACAACAACGACAACCACCCCAGTCAGAATCTCACAAAGTTTGAGGAACTCTTTAAACTGGAATCTCAAAGAGAGAAAGCACTCCAAAGAGCACAGGCAGAGCTGAGCAACATCATCATTCGTCAGGGAAATGCAACTCCAAACCACAATGATGATACCACTTCACACCCTCGAGGTTGGCTACAATAAGTGCTGGTGTGGATGTGGAGCCACTGCCACCCTCATACACTGCTGGTGGGAATGTAAAACGGTGCAGTCACTGGAAAGCAGTCTGGCAGTTTCTCAAAATGTTCAACAGAGTTACCATGTGACCCAGCAATTCCACTCCTAGGGATCTATCCAAGAGAAATGAAAACACATGTCCACACAAAACCTGTACATGCATGCTCACAGCAGCATTATTCGTAACAGCCAAAAAGGGGAAACAACCCAAATGCCCCTCAACTGATCAGTGGATAAGTAAAATGTTGTATGCCCATACAATGTATTATGCAACAGTAAAAAGGAATGAGGCAGACACATGCTGGGATATGGGTAAATTCTAAAAACACGCTCAGTGGAAAAAGCTAGACTCAAAAGGTCACATATTGTACAATTTCATTTACATGAAATGTCCAGAATAAGCAAATCTTAGAAAAAAATTAGTGGTTGCCTAGAGTTGGAAGGGGTTTGGGGTTTCTTTTCAAGGTGATGAAAATTAGATTGCAGTGACGTATACAACTTCTGTGAATATACTAAAAGCTATTGAATTGTACACCTCAAGTGGGTGACTCTTATGCTAAGTGAATTATCCTATATAATAAAACTCTAATATGCAAATCAACCGAATGGTGGAACAACTGGTCACTATGACGAACACTGACCACCAGGGGGCAGACGCTCAATGCAGGAGCTGCCCCCTGGTGGTCAGTGCGTTCCCACAGGGGGAGTGCTGCTCAGCCAGAAGCTGGGCTCGCTGCTCCTTAGCTCTGCCTCGGAGGCAGGAGAGGTTCCCACCACTGTCACTGTGCTCGCCAGCTGTGAGCCTGGCTTCTTACTGCAGGTGGGCGGTAAGGAGCAAGGGGTCCTGGACTGCGAGAGGTCCTAAGCTGGCAGTTGGACACCCCCGAGTGGTCCCAGACTGCGAGAGGGCGCAGGCCAGGCTGAGGGACAGCCCCCCCCTGCACTTCCCCCCTCGGTGCTTTCGTGCACCGGGCCTCTAGTATCTAAATAAAGCTGTTGTGCCCTAGCCAGTTTGGCTCAGTAGATAAGAGTGTCAGCTCTTGGACTGAAGGATCTCTGGTTTGATTCTGATCAGGGGCACATCTCTAGGCTGCAGGCTCGATCCCCGGCGCCCAGGTCAGGGGTGTGTGCAGGAGGCAACCAATCGATGTGTCTCTCTCACATCGATGTTTCTCTCTCTGTGTCTCTCCCCTTCCTTTCCACACTCTAAAAATCAATAGAAAAATATCCTCGGTGAGAATTAACAAAATAAATAAATAAAAATAAACAAAGCTGCTGTGAAAAAGAAGAAAGCAGGAATGGGGATGCATTATAAAAGGCAGCAGTATTCTAAGAAACTAGCTCTGGCTCTAAAAACAAATGATGGGGCCATTCACATGGCACTGACTCTCAAAAATGGACAAGCAGCTCACCAATCCAGACAGAGGTCAGCATTCCTGGGCATGACCACCCCCCCACCATCACCCATCAGTCATGTACCAACTCCATCACCACTTCCACTGGTTCACAAGGAAACTGGCACCTGACAGAAATCCAGAAACCACACACCAATGACAGCAGAGGTGTTGCCGCAGTAACCAGAGCGACTTCTCTTTGACACTTAGCTACCCTGCCAATTGGTCCCTATCACATCAGAAACCATTATATTAAACAATGGACACGAATTCAAGATCATTCCAAAAATGACCCACACCAGGGACCTCACTTTCAGAATTTTATGATTAGTTGCAAAAAACCTTCATACTAAATTCTTACATTTCAATCACCAGGAGGTACATAATTATGAGATTACAATAAATATCATGGCTCATAATAGAACTTTAAGTTTATGGTTCAAAGATACAATTAACATGAAGATGCAGCTTTCCCAATCCAAAAAAGGGGGCAATGATTCCCACAAAACAGTAAGGAAAGAGGCTGATGAATGCTTAGTTAGCAGAAAGAAAATGTACTATTCCTTGTCTTTTGGGTGGGAGACCTATTTGCTCAGAAGAGAGACTGTTTAAGATTTAAAATGTAAAAGGGCAAAGGGCAAGTGTATCGCGAAGACCTACATTCTGTCCTCACACATGGCAGCAGGGAGCACACTAGGACCTCAAAGCTTCGGGAAGCCTTGCAAGGAGACCTGCTGGGAGGGGCTTTTGGAAACAGCCTAAGAGGTGGGGTGTCAGGCTAAGGACAGGGGGGCAGCGTGAGGGGGAAATGGGTTCCAGGCAAGCAACAGTAGCCACGGCGGAGGAACCTTTTTACAGGGAAGGGAGGGAAGGGGTATGAGCCAGGCCAGCTCCTCGCTGGGCATGAATGTCAGCTGCACCACCATTCGCGCGGGGTGCGGTGCAGGACGGGCGGCCGTGAAGCTGTAGTTGAAAGCTCTCAGGGGCTGACAGCAGGTGCTCACAAATCCAGGCCACATGGGGGGCGGGCAGGCTAGGAGGGGTCAGTGGGGGAAAGGGGGGCATGTAATACTTTCAACAAGAAAGTTTTAATTTAAAAAATGGGGGGGGGGGCGCCTGGAGGAAGCCTTGGCGGCGTAGATAAAAGTTAAGGACCCGCAGAGGGTCCCCTGGAGCTAGAGAGGGAGACAGGTGGGAGGTGGGAGGTCTGGATGGGGGGCCAGGGAACAGGGGGGGTAGAGGA